TTTACCTAGCAAAATTTCATCATGACTATTGGCGGGAGCGAGAGCGCGTGGCACGCTCTTCAGTGCCGGCTAATTATGTGGCACTCTCTTACGCCGCACAGGTGTCCACCGTCTTCCTACGTAGCTGCCAATTTCACGATGTAACGGGTGTCGTGGAGCGATAGCGGCCGCGTAGGAGTAAATTAGATTTTCAGATTGGCCTGCGCGAATTTTGGCAATTTTCTGCGAGAAAAATCCAGGATGGAATGAGTCACGTCGCGAGTACACACACACATACGCGTAGTCTGACCTCCCCCCTAAACGTGTGTGTGTCTAGTTGTTGCCTCCGAGTTGTTGATGGAAGAACGTCGAACCGCGAGATATCTCCATTCCAATTCTCAAATTTTATTTCTCGCTCTTCTGCACACAGACCGGCTGTAATATCCTTGACATTTGCTATAAGTCTAGGGCTATTATGGATTTTTACGTCACACGAGTTGTGTCTACATGAAGAGAATTGTGTGGTGGAAGTTACTGTAGAATTTTGTAACTGAGGAATAGATCGACATTCTGCGGTAATTGACTGTCCTTCCATTTCATACGTGTTACTTATATTTTAGGAATTCAAGTGTTCCATAAAAAAATTTGCTATACTTTTGGCGAAATTTATTGTGCTTTTCAACAAGATAGATCTTGACAGTCTATTTTCCTGCATTACTGCGAACATAGTAAAATCGAGAGGAATTAAAAGAAAGAGAAAACTACACGGTTAAAAAGATGTAGACAAACATAATTTGCTGTTAGCCACTTTTTCTTTGCTGCAGGAACCAATTTTCTTGCTAAGATAAAAAGAAAATCTGCTCCTGCAGCAAAAAAGTAGCTAAAGCAGTAAATTATATTTAATTGTCCATCTCTAGCAAATTTGCTGCGTTGCACTGAGAGAAAAATTATCTTAAAATCAACAAATATTTTCTTGGTGGATGCCATTAATATATCTACTTAAATCTACATTCTCTTTACTTAAATCAAATATTGTTTACTTGATTTAAATAAACAATATTTGATTTAAGTAAAGAGAATGTAGATTTAAGTAGATATATTAATGGCATCCACCAAGAAAATATTTGTTGATTTTAAGATAATTTTTCTCTCAGTGTAGACACTTTTCTTGCTATCATAGCAAGGAAATAGGTTCTTGCAGCAAAGAAAAAGTAACGTAGCGAATTATATTTAACTGTCCATAATCCTTTTTTTCCGTGTATAAAATTCTCCTCGTATACTACACATTCGTGTGTAACCGTTGACTATTAACTCAGAAGATAGCAACGATATCACATGTCGCGCTTTTTCTTTTATATGCAATTTTATTTCACGTCACCAAATACCACTCTGTCTAAACAATATTCGAGATATCGTTGCACGGAAAAAAAGGATCTACTACATATGGACAACTAAACATAATTTGCTGTAGCCATTTTTTCTTTGCTGCAGGAGCCGATTTCCTTGCTATTTCCTTGCATTTCCTTACCAATTTCTTTGGTAACTAGGAAATCTGCTCCTGCAACAAAAAAGTAGTTAAAGCAGTAAATTATGTTTAGTTATCCATTTGTAACAAATTTGCTACGTTAGCCACTTTTCTTGCTGTACATCGAGGGAAAAATTACCTTAAAATCAACAAATATTTCTTTGATGGGTGCCATTAATATATTTACTTAAATCTAAATTCTCTTTATTTAAATCAAATATTGTTTACCTGATTTAATTACCTAAACAATATTTGGTTTAAATAAAGAGAATTTAGATTTAAATAAATATGTTAATTGCACTTATCAAAGAAATATTTGTTGATTTTAAAGTAATTTTTTCTTCAGTGTAGGAGCAAATTTTCTTGTTATCATAGTAAAAAAATAGGTTCCTGCAGCAAAAAGAAGTAACACAGCGAATTATATTTAACTGTCCGCATGTAGCAAATTAGTTTGCTGCTGCAGCAAATTATTTTCTCCGTGCTGTTTCCTCGTAATAATCAACAGTCATGACGCTTGGAAGAAAGTGATAGATTGAGGATTAACCTTTACAAAGTCGGAGTAGGCCCCAATTGCTCCATTGTGGACATCGCCTTCTCGGAGAATGCCAAGGCTTACCTTTTACTGGAAACCTTCCTAAATCCAAAATTACAATCTGAGCCTTACCTAAATTAAGACATCATCAATTACACGAATATACTAATAAGACTGGCTAATAGAATAGGAATTCCGGGTCATATATAAGAAGAAGAAGAAGAATAGTCATGACGCGTGAAAATACGTAGGCACAATGTGTGTGATTGAAAAGTTCCCGTAATTCCAAGTCTAATAAATGTTAAGTCTGTCCAAGATGTCTGTCTATTAAGATTTATGGTATCAGCGATTATATTGTTATTATTTGCTTTTTGCGACGCGCAGAGACACGATACTCATTCGCGCACGCGACGTGAAGAGCACAGGACTTGTTGCGGGTCTCACAAGGAAGAGACCAAGGACTGCATCGCGGTATACACTGAGAGAAAAATGTATGATATTTGGAACTATAATGGCATAGTAAAAATATTATAGTTAGGAATATAATTTTAATAATAAATGTTACCATAATATTTGTAATATTTACAATATAAGTATAGTATAACTGACCCGTGTAAAATTTTTACCAAGAATTATAATTATTTGAAATAAAAAATATGATAAGGTGGCAAATATTGAATGGTAAGAGAAATTAACTATTTTATATAGTCAATACAATTGGAATATTTGGCAAATATAGGTACATGTAACTATATTCCCAAATTATGCTTTACACATAATAAGATGGTGACTATAAATCTATGTTCATGTTTAAATGAACTATAAATATATGTTTGAGGCCAAAACGAACTATAAAATATAATGAGATTATAGTTATTCCAATTATTCTTTTTCTCTCAGTGCACTGAGAGAAAAATGTATGATATTTGGAACTATAATGGCATAGTGAAAAGATTATAGTTAGAAATATCATTTTTATAATAAATCTCACCATAATGTTTGTAATATTTACAATATAAGTACAGTATAATGAACCCATGTAAAACTTTTACCAAGAATTATAATCATTTGAAATAAAAAATATAATAAGGTTGCAAATATTGAATGGTAAGGGAAATTAACTATTTTATATAGTCAATACAATTGGAATATTTGGCAAATATAGGTACATGTAACTATATTCCCAAAAGGTGCTTTACCATATATATATATAGAGTAATAAGATGGTGACTATAAATCTGTGTTCATTCTACTATCTTCATGTTTAGATAAACTATAAATATATGTTTGAGGCCGACTATAAAATATAGTGAGATTATAGTTATTCCAACTATTTTTTTCTCTCAGTGTAGAGGAAACGAAGGGATAAGTCATACTTCGACCTGTGCGTTACTGCTGAAAAACGGGTCGTCGGCGCGGCCGGGTTTATAAATACGATAAGATACAAAGAGTAGGAAAGGTTTTCGTCGTTCTTCCCTGCGACGAAGGGAAATCCGAATTCCAAGAGTAACGCGGCACACCTGTCGGACTCCTGAGAAAAGCGTGAGGGAGTCGATCGCGCGCACACACATACACACACACACACACACACACACGCATGTGTGCATCCTTGACGCGTTTTCCGGTCGCCAGATTCCCTCTCATTCGCTCTATTTCTCTGTCTCTGTTCCCGTCATTGTCGCACGCGTCGCGCTCGAGAGTAGTCATCGCCGATCGTCGCATCTTCACGCTCTTCTCATCCGCCTTTCCACCCGCGTCCCTCCCTCGCGAGTTCTCGCTCACTCGAGGATGGGCGAGGAGGAGGAGAAGGAGGAAGATCTCACCGGCTGAAGGAGAAGCGTTCGGTCTGGACGCGGCCCAAGTCGCTTATCCAATGAATTACAAAATCCCGAGGTTTCTGGGAAAACTTCCGGATCGCGATGCGTGTGTGTGTTCGCGTTATTATGAGCTCTCTTGGCTCGCCGTCTCATTATCGCGATTCGCGACGCGGTGGCCATCGTCACAAAAGACTCTCCCGCGAAGCACCTCGCACGCCATTAAGGGGATGCCGGAGTCAAAATCTTGACAAAATACCGACTGTTTTCTGCAAAGTTTACGTTATATATTGCGTCGGCTGCGCAGAATTACGAATCTCACAATAAATACACGCGCGAAAAAGAATCCGAGGATTGCTCAGCGTACGACAAAAAGTTTCAAAGTTGACATTTCGAGTGTTAATTAGTCTGTCAGACGCTGTCAGTTAAAATAAATATTCACCTGATCCAAATCTGTAGCTTGTATAGCTTGTGAACGCGAGTTTGCTCCTTTCAGAAAAATGTCAAGAGACATTTCTTTATCTGAATTTAGGAGCCTAAGGCTCCTGGGGAGTCGCATCATTCATCTCTTTTTAATGACGTCAGAAGCGAGAAAACGCATGCTAAAAATTCCTGCAAAATACGTCGAGATAAACAGATATATCCACAAAACGACATTTGCGATCGATTAAGTACACCTCTAAAATACTCCGTACACTTTCCTTTTGTTCTAAAAATCAATAGATAATCGGAAAATTAATATGACAAGATAATGAGGAAATTAGATTAGAAAAGACGATTGCACGTCACATTTATTTTATAATTATCTGTTGATTGTTAGAACAAAAGGAAAGTGTACTTAATCGATCGCAAATGTCGTTTTGCGGATATATCTGTTTATCTCGACGTATTTTGCAGGAATTTTTAGCATGCGTTTTCTCACTTCTGACGTCATTAAAAAGAGATGGATGATGCGACTCCCCAGGAGCCTTAAAAATATCGTGATTTTTGGACGTTTGTCGTCGACTCCAGTATTCCCTTAATAGCGCGAATCGAAACTCCGAGCCCTGACCAATCGACCAACCGACTGATCAACCGACAACCACGACGACGACGACGACGACGCGCTCGTCGAGAGTGTAACGACAGTGTACCTATACGGCACCCGCAGGTAGGCCCTGCCAGGAGGATGGGGGCCCACGATGGGGGAGTGCCACTGCTCTAACATCACTATCATGCAGCTGTTCCACGAGCTGAAGCAGCAGTTCCCCGCGCTCCCTGATCACGTCGTCTCCCAGTGCATCGCCCAGGTATACAGGTGGCCTTAGCCCATCAGGAGTGTGGCCCTACCCCCATCTCATCCAGATCCCGCGGCACGAGTGCGCGAGAGACCTGCTCGCCAACTTCATCGTTCCCGATCGCCGCGACATAACGACTAACCGTCCCTCCCGAGTCGCCTAACGTTTCGTTTACGAAACCCTCATTTAGTAATATGAGTCAACTGCCGTCTACTACTCTCTAAATTCCTCGGGGTGATACTCCACTCTGGACAATCGAGTCAAGTCGACGACTTCGAGCAATGTTTTTTCGCTCATGCACAGTGAATTTTCCACGTGATTTTCCAGTGAATCGTCGAGCGAGAACATTTCGAGTAGATGCTTGCTCCAAGCTGAATGGCGATATCAATCACTTGGTTGTTTCCCGGTGGACCTTGTGATATCATTCAGAGACTTCAACTTCATCATCGTGCGTTGTTGACTTCGCCTCAAGTAAATTCTCATTTGCTTTCAGCGAGATCTCACCCCCAAGAGATTCAGAGAGTAGCACGCCCCTCCCCCACGCATCCTCCTTCTTCCTCGACTGTGTCATGCATCGCTGAAATCGCCTGCACGAGCGTGGAACCTGTGTGTACGTTCTTGAAGTATACGCGACGTCCCGAAACTCACCGAGAGTCCCGGCTCTCGTCGTCGAGACCGGCAAGAGAGTCGCACCGAGTGGTTTTCGGGACAAATCGCACCTGCCGGATCCTATCCGGCACGTGTACGTGCTCGCGAGCGTGGCGAACGATCGCGAGAGCAATTGCGCGCGGATCAACGTGCCAGGCAAGGAGCATCAAGGGGAATACCCTCGCGAGACGCTCGCTCGTCTCGCGAGAAGAGTCGCGCGAAAGAGAGACTGTCTCCTCTCGTGTCGCTGCGTCGTCCTCTGGAGATCAGACTCCGCGGATGGACCTGGCCGGGGCTGACCCAAGGTACGTGTGCGTTGCAGAACAGTCACGACCGGGAGACATGCGCGAGAAGCCTGCGGGCCACCCAGGAGTCCCGTCCGTCACCGGGCGCCTTCCCACCGCCGCCTCCTTGCACCGGGATACAGCAGCAACCTCAGCAACCGCAGCAACAGCAACCATCGCGAGCAGCTGGAGCGGAGCAGCGTTGCTGCGCGATGAACCAAGTGCAGCGCGGCGCCGTCCTCGCCAGCAGCAACGTCGTCGGACGCCCTCATCGACCTGCATCGTTGGACATCGGCATGACACGCCGCTGCCCCGCTGTCGGCTGCAGCCGCGCAACCGGCGCGACCACGACGGCATCGTCGTCGGCGTCGTTGAGCGGCGTCGCCACCCCGACGTCTGCGCCGGCCGCCTGCACGTCACGCGGCTTCTTCGACGACTGCACCGTCAATAGCGTCGGCAACGCCAACGGCAACGCTACGCCCGGTTTCGAGCTCAACGTCAACGTCGCCTGCAGCCCCGCGGGCAATCGCGGTAAGCCCGTGTGAGAACCTGTGTGTCGGAGATCGAGGCTTGCGGACGGGAGTTTGGAGTCCAACATGTCGATTACACTGAGAGAGAACGTTTGGTACTTGTGACCGTAAAATTGCATATTATATATACAGGGTGTCTCACACTCTCCTCCGGGCATTTTGTGGAGACGTAGAACAGATTGAGGTGAACATGAAAGTCCTATACCGTTTTGCGATATTCGCAATAATTATCGAGATGTTAATTGCAGAAAATTTGTGAATGATCATGCAGGATATGGTAAATGAGTTATAATAGCGACGACTGCCGTCGTGTACTTATACTTTAGGTCAAATTGAACAAAAAAGTCCTCTATCATTTTGCAAATAATCACATAGATTTTTAATTATTAATTAAAAAAGATGAGTACATTATCACGCAAAATCGTGCAATAATCTTCTTTAATTAATAATTAAAAATCTATGTGATTATTTGGAAAATTGTAGAGGACTTTTTTGTTCAATTTGACCTAAAGTATAAGTACAACACGGCAGTCGTCGCTACTATAATTCATTTACCATATCCTGCATGATCATTTACAAGTTTTCTACGATTAATATCTCGATAATTATTGCGAATATCGCAAAACAGTATAGGACTTTTATGTTCACCTCAACCTGTTCTACGTCCCCACAAAATGCCCGGAGGAGAGTGTGAGACACCCTGTATATATA